GCCCGCCCCCCTACCCAGCGGCCCCCAACGGACTCGAAACTACACAGACCAGGGCAACAATTCCTGGGAAGCCAAGTAGCAAAAACCCTATTTACAGGGTACACCGTAATTATTAGTTTGTGCCATTGCTTGCCAAGCCAAACGTCAATGGGACGGGTTCCCAGCAGTGACCAATAAAATGTTGAAATGGTACAGGTTCAACGCCCCTTTCAACACTGTTAGGTTGTGTAAGAGCAGTGACCAAAGCGGACGTTTTTGGCGTCGCAACGAAGTAAAAACCACGCACTGAAACGACCAACTTTGTAAACACCAGTCTATGTTTACTATAAGATAAGTCCTGAGTGCTTTCCGTGCTTAAAATTCTCTCTTCCCCACCCACCCCTGCCCCCTCTCTGCTCCCACTCCCCCTCCTCCTTGCCCCTCTCCCCCATTAAAAAATGTGTTGCTGTATTGGGCGCATAGGTATTTGTTTAAATATCAGGTAAGCTATATTGGGTGATAGGAAACGATCCAGATAATGGAGCTATTTTTTGAGCATCCGCGCAAAGGAATTCACATGAAGGGAGAACCATGATCGTCTATGTCCGTCACAGATCTGGCACTTCGGCTAAGGATGATGATGACGATCATGATGATGACGACGACGACGACGACCAGGTGTAATGCAGCTAGTCCGTTTTCCTCCCACAAAGTAAAGCAAAATGGCACCAGTCACCGGGAGGAAGTGGAATGTGCGAAGTTCGCGAATGAGGACATTCACGACAGATACTGCTAATTATAATATCATTTTTGAAAAACCTATTAGAACTAGCAAAATCGAGTTTGGGCTTCACGGGCGAAAATGATGATGTCACATTTGTTATTTCATCTAATCCACATCACGCCATATTATTATTATATATTATTATATGCTCGCACAACCAAAGCTGTGAGACAGGTAGCATTATTCCACAGACGCGCAGCATGAACCTCCCACACTAAGCACCCTGTAAAGAGAGTTTTCGAAGACCAGCCCGAACACCCCCAATCGCCGGGACCAAAACA